AAATTAACTCCTTGACCCTTTTATGCTTCACTTGTAAACTGGGAATAATGGTTATTTCATGGGATTGTTAGAGTTACGCTGGACTATGAAGGCACTCAGAAAAGGACTTGGCACATCATATAAGCTCCATATATACTCCCTTTCCAATAGGAAATTGAGAACAGGCTTCAGTAATGTCTCAATGCCCCTACATTGCCCATTCAAAGGTCACATTTCCCTTACCACTCATAGTCAGAGGCTTCTCTCTATGACTATGAGAGAGAGGTTAAATAAACTTTTTATTTGGGGATACATTTAGATTTACAGAAAAGTTACAAAGATAGTATAGTTTCTATATTTCCCTCCCTTAGTTTCCTTAGTGTTAACAATTTACATGAATATGGATATTTATCAAAACTAATTAGTAATTATATGTATAATGATACATTACTATTAACTAAAGTCCAGATTTTGTTTAGATCTTGACTGTTTTTTCATTAGTGTCTACTTTTTTTTGTCCTGGATCCAGTATAGGGAAACACGCTGCAATTAGTCCTCATGTCTCCTTAATCCCATCTGGTGTGTGACAGTTTCTCAGTTTTTCTTTGGTTTTCATGACCTTGAGAGCCTTGAAAAATACTGGTCAGTAATTTTGTTAGGGAGTTAAAAGCTCTGACCTTCTAACTTCAGCCATTCCTTTCTCCTTTCTCTCTACCCTGGAGAGGACAACAATGTAGAGGTGCCAGTCTACTCTGTAGGATGTGCTGACTCCTCTTTATTCCACTCCAGGCCCCAGTATGTCCTGCAGATTTGAGAATGGAACAGTTCAGAGTTCTGTCTGCTTGAAGTCATTAGCAGTTACTGAAGTTTTCCTGGTGGTTCTCCCAATTAGGAGGCCAAACTCTGTCTTCCATGGACTCCACCCCTTTTGTCATTCATTAAAATTTTAGACAATTTTCAGGTTCTTCTCCTGCTCCAGGTTCTAAAAGGTAAAGAGATCATAATTAATGGATTCTTAACTGTGTTAAAATACTGACATCTCTGATGAAATCATTTTCTTTAGCTTTTCTGGCATTGTATTCTGAGATGCAGTCTTTGCCTTAAAACTAATAAATATAGCTAATGCCAGGTTGTCTCTCAAATCTGGGATTGGAGGGAAAATGATAAATGGAGGTAGATGGATGAAACCTGAGACCAATCCCATATGCTCATGAAAGACTGCTCCCTTTTGTATTCATTCTAAAATCTGTATTATCCAATAGCCTTTGAAATGGTTCACAATATTGGAGTTCCTTTATTCACTGTGCTTTACCTAGAGATTAATCAGGCACCAATCATAGTCTATAGTAGACTATGCCTCTGAAACAGAGTAAATCATGTGCAAAACCTAAAATGGACTCAATAGACAAGAGAAAAATAGAGAAGTCTTTATATAAAGAAGATGGTGTTTGAGTTGGCCTTAAGATTTGGAAATAAAAGACTTGCCAGAATTAAGATTATTGTATATGGAATCAAACAGGGCTTAAATGCCTTATTACTAAATTAAAAACCCTGTCCCAGATACCTAAACTCTAAATGCATCAATTTTAATTAGTAATAGGTAAACGAGAAGATCCATTCTATGGATAGTGATCAGTCACTGTCCCAGGCACCTGTTGCTGTTCAATGGGCTCCTATACAAGTATCTGTATTAGTAGCTGTAAACGGAGAAGCCTTAGTGACGAGAAACCCACGCTCAGGCAGAGCCTCCATCCCTGCTGCTGTGGATACATACATTTAAGGACAACTGTGAGCCTGATTTTTCACTATTTCTAGGAGAGTCTAGACTGTCTTCTAGTGGCACATTTGTTGTATTAAACCAATTTGTATTCTCACAAAATAGGTGGTTAATATGCCAAAGACAGTTTCATTTTCTCTCCTACACTGCTCCTGCCGACACCACCATTTTTAGATTTACACTATCAGGATATCCCAAAAGCATCACTGGCAGCTAAGGAACTGATTTTGTAATCAGAATTCTGTTAATGGGCTTGCCCTATGGAATGCATTAGTCTTATGATATACACCATCAGCCAGGAAAAGTTGGCCCAATGAAACTATGAGATGTTCTGCTGAAGGCTTAGGTATGACGCCAGTTTGTAAACCCCACCCTATGAGATAGGAAGGTTGCCTTACAAATTCTCATACATGATTAAAATCAACTAATACAGTGGCATTTTTTTCATATCCACTATACACACACACTTCAGAGAATCAAGGTGGGAAGGTGTAAGTGGCACCTATTACCTTCAAGCAAGTAACTCATTTATAGAACATTTTCTTTCCATCCCCCAACATAGGGCTCAGCCCTGTTTTCGAGGGTGTAGTAAAAAGGGAGGGGGTGGGGGAAGAACACCTATGAGAGTAAGCTAACCTGGTTCCAATAAACTGGAATTTGCAACTATCCCCTGGCTCTATGGGGCTTTCTCAGCCACTGATGAACTAGACAGAAGATGGGGTTTCTATACTGGCTGGAGTGACTTATTCCTATTACCAAGGAGAATTGAAGCTGCTGGTACATAATGGGGCAAGAAAGACTTGGCCTAAAACCCAAAATATACATTGGAAAGATTCCTAGTGATGATTGCCTGATAACAATGGCCAGTACCTTAAAGACAGGAACATTAAGGATACTTATCCTTCAGGAACGGTTTGGATTACTCACCGGGAAAAGAACACTGAAGTACTAACATACTGGCAGTGACTGAGGGGAATTTGGAATAAGTGGCAACTTTGGTCATCTAGCCAATACCAAGTTGGGTACTGTTGCAGCATGTATATATTAATTGACCTATGTATAGATTATTGAACATGTACCAAAGCAACCCTGTGGTGTGTATATTAATATCTTTATTAGATAAATTGTAGCTCAGAGAGATGGCATGTGGCTGGAGAATATCAGGGTTAGCACTGAGTCCGTGTCAGTGCTCTCATGAGATCTATGCTCTTTTCTACCCCACCCCACAGCAGCTTATTCACTGCCCATAGGAATGAGTGAGGGCAGTGATGTTAAGCAGTCATTTTCTGAGTGTCTGCTAATTCACATATAGGTTTCTTCTTCCTTCTTTCTTCTTTTTACTCTTCCCACTTTGCTTGCTGGAACTATGTTCCTGGAATCAAATAATTACATGATACAATTTGGATATTAGATGTCACTTGATAACATTCCACTAAGCAAATTCTCATAAAAACAGAACTGGAAATTTCAAAGAGGCACGAAGTGTTTTTAGGTTTCCTAAAACTATACAAAACATTAAGCAACGTTCAACTGACGCTTTTAACCTTAAGTTATACAGGGGCCAAAAAAAATGTCTGAGTTGGAAGGAATTGAGGATCCTAGTCTCCTCACCCTTCCTTTTTTCTCCTTCCTCCTCTACACTTTATGACCACATTCCTACTAGCTGCCCCTACAGCCTCTGCTTGAGCTGACAGGGCAGCCTGTCATCTCTGAGCTGTCACTAAAAAGTTCTTCCCTGGACATTTTAATACTCATGCACTGTGTCATGTCAAGTAAGTCACTTCACTCCATTCAATCTCTGTGTCCTCTCCTGTAATGTGAGTTTAATAACTCCTAAATCACTAAATTCTTTTTTTTTAATGTTTTATTTATTTCTAGGAGAGAGAGAGAGAGACAGCGTGAGCAGGGGAGGGTCAGAGAGAGAGGAGACACAGATTCTGAAACAGGCTCCAGGCTCTGAGCTGGCAGTCAGCAGAGGGCCCGACGCGGGGCTCGAACCGACGAACCGCGAGATCATGACCTAAGCGAAAGCCGGATGCTTAACCGACTAAGCCACCCAGGCGCCCCTAAATCACTAAATTCTTAAGTGGCTTAAATAATATAACCTGACATAGCAACGGTATTCACAATAGTAAAAAGGTAGAAGCCACCCAAGGGCCCATTGACAGATGAATGGGAAACAAAATGCATATACAGACATTGGAATATTAATCAGCCTGTAAAAGGAAAGAAAGCCTGTCACATCCCACAACATGAATGAACCTTGAGGACATTATGTTAAGTAAAATAAGCCAGTCACAAAAGGACAAATACTGTATGATTCTACTTCCATTGGGGCACCTAAAAAAGTCAGATTCGTAGAGATGGCAAATTGAACGGTGGCTTCCAAGCGCTGAGAAGAGAGGATAATGGGGAATTACTGTTTAACAGGTAACAGAGTTTCCATTTGGCGAGATGAAAACAGCTCTACAGATGGTGCTGATAGTCATACAATGACGTGAATGTATTTAATGCGACTGAACTATATGCTTAAAAATGGTTACGATGGTAAATTTTGATATATATTATTTTACTACAATTTAAAAATAACCTGTGAAAATCCCTAGCTGGGTGACAAGTACATAGTTGGTGCTCAATAAATGTCAATTCCTTTCTTACCACTTACTGGTGTGATACCTGCCTTCAGATCACACAGTATAAGTCCCTCACCCCCTGATGTTAAAAGATCAACACTCCTGAAATGGACTTATTTATGGAAGTAAGAAGCCAAGGGTGGCACTTAAGGGAGAGCTCCAGGCACTGTTGTCACCATCCAAACCACAAGTGGACACAGCACATGGCTGTGGCGTGATGGTGACCAGTGTCAAAGAAGGCAGCATGACTCCTCCATCTAGTAGATGCTGAGATCCCATTAGATACTGAGGACCTGGGACTGAGTGCACAGCAAGGCTGAAATGCTGTGGAGCTTTCGCTTAGTGTCAGCCTGGGGGCTGAGCTTGCTCCGCCCTCTGCCCCTTAGCTCCGCCCCGCGCAACCCTCTCCGCCGGAGCTCCTCCCACTCCCTGCCCCTCGGCCCGCCTCCCTTTCAGACGTGCGTCTGAAGGAAAATCGAAAGTGAAATAGGGAACTTGCCGCCAGAAGCTGAGTCCCCTGAAAAGGTGAGTGACTTGGCCAAACCCAAGCCCCCCAGCCCTGGCAGGGGGACATCTCTCCCTTGTCCCAGATCTGAAGGTCCGCTCCCATCCAGGTCTCACCCCTAGAGCCTGGGATCCCAGTTCTCCCTTCTCCGCAGCAGGGCTCGCTCAGCCCAAGTCCAGCAGTTCGTCCTGCGCAAACAGCCTGCCTAGGAGAGGGCCTGGCTGTGCATGTGACTTCCAAGCCACCAGCAAGGGAGAAGGGGTAAGGGCTGCCTTGCTGATTCTGCCTGAGCAGGGAAAACTGGGCAGCAACCTAGCCAGGAGGGTGGTCTAGGGCAGCCCAGTGTGGGTAGGTTCACAGTCCTAGAGACCCTCCTCTCGACAGTTCCCCTCTGGGAGTGAGGGGGGCGGGATGGTAAATAGATCTGGGTCTGTGCCCCAGAGGCAGTGAGGACAGGTACCAGGTTCCGGAAGCTGAGAGGAGCGCCCAGGAAGTGCTCTACCACGTGTGTGTGAACACATGCATATACATATAAACACATACATGTATACACACTACACGTACATTTGTATATATGTACACGTGCAAACATATTCTTATGTAGGCAGTCCTATAACATGCATAACTCCTGCCACTATTGTGCAGACTAATGAAGACGTATGCAAAGAGCGCAGCATCTCCCCTAGCGCGCGGAGAGTGCATGGTCAAAGGCCGCTCCTGTTACCATGAGCTTCTCAGCAGTGCACTGGTGCACGGGAGAAGACAGGCAAGAAAAGCCTGGGTACAGAGGGTTTAAGCAGCGATTTACCTGAAGATACAGTTGCACACAGCTTTATCTCTGAAGTTCACAGCAACATTCTTGGTCTCTTTTGGAGAATCAGTCCCCCTCTGTCCTGCTGGATCAGTGGATGAGACTAGGGAGGAGAAGCTGTTGTTACTCAAGTTAATGTTCTGATCTTGTTTTCACACCTTCCACTTCACTCTCCCTCAGGGTTTCCTTCTCACACCACCCTTCTCATCTTCTCTTTTCCTTTCCTCCTCTCCCCACTAGGCTACCGCAGTATCTCCACAGGGCTGCTGGATAGGAACATTACCCCAATGGCCTCAGCAGCGCCCCTGGCGATGATGTGGGAGGAGGTCATGTGCCCCATCTGCCTGGATCCCGTAGTGGAGCCTGTGAGCATTGAATGTGGCCACAGCTTCTGCCACAACTGCATCTCTCAGGTCGGGAAAGACGGAGGCGGCGTCTGTCCTGTGTGTCAGCACACCTTCTTGGTCCGGAACTTCCGACCCAATTGGACGCTGGCCAGCATGGTGGAGAGCCTTAAACAAATTGGCCAGAGTGCCAAGGAGGGCACGCAAGGGGAGCGGTGCGAGGTGCACGGGGAGAAACTGCACCTGTTCTGCGAGGAAGATGGGAAGATCCTTTGCTGGGTGTGTTCTCAGTCCCAGAACCACCGTAACCACCACATGGTCCCTATTGAGGAGGCTGCTCAGGAGTACCAGGTGAGGCCTCAGCACAGAGACAGAGCATGTAGAAGGGAGAGAGGCATCCCTGGTGGGTGCTTTGTTCCCCAGAGCCCGGGAGGCAGAGTTGCCTGTGGCATTGAGGGCTTGGGGAAAGGAAGGATGCCTCCCACCTTCCATGTCTAACTTAAGCCAAGAACTGCAAGCTTGGTACAACTTTCTCATTCCCCAGGAGCAGGGAATACACTTAGGAAATGCTACAAGAATCACATTTCCTTGTCTCCTGGTTAATTAAGAATGAACATGAGCATGCCCCCCATGAACAGTGTAGCTCTGTTTTGTAAGAAACATTGGGCTTTTTCCAAAGTTTTCCCATCCACAGAATTTCCACCCCAGTCAGACTGTAGTCTTCCCTCTTTCTCTGCACTCAGGCTTTTCAAAGAACCAGCATGGTCTTCTCCGGAATGCCACCCCACCCCACTTCTTGGTCTGGTTGGACACTAACCTATCTCTCTCTACAGGAGAAGGTCCAGGTGGCATTAGAGAAACTGAGAAAAGGACAACGATTGGCCGAGGAGTTGGAAGTGGATATTGCAATGAAGAGAGCTTCCTGGAAGGCAAGAATCGTTCCCTAAAAGGAATCTCTGATCAGAAGCCAGGGTAGAGTCCAGGGTCCCAGACTCAAGCCCTAACCATAGCTATGCCCATCTGAGATAATATATCTCACTATCCAAGAACCAGCTGTCCTCTAGGCCTCCTGACAGAAGGGAATAAAAAGGAGAGAGCTCCCAATCAGATAGAAAAATCAAGAATCTTAGAAAAAGGTGCCAAGAGGAATAAGCCATACCCTAAAGCTCAGGCTTAGGAGATGATAGCATCACTGCCTCAGCATCTGGGACCAAGGTTTCCCAGGAGAGATGCCCAATGACTAGGCCTATGGGGAAATGACAAGGGCTGTGAGGAGCAGACTTCAGGGAATGACCAAGACCAGCTGTAGAAAAACTAGTCTGACCAGGTGGTTGCTTGACCACATCCAGGTCACTGGTCCAAAGTAGGATGGAGACCTAAAGCTATTCTACACGTAATTGGAGGTGGGGTGGTCAAGACTTAGAGGAGTGGAGGGAACTCAGGGCCAGTAGAGCCCAGAAAAGATCAGAGAAGGATGAGTCAGGCTGTGGTGGCAAAAGGAATCATTGTTTTGTCGGGTGACCTTCCAGTCACTAGCAGGAGAGGACAGATAGATGATCCCCAAGGCCCCCTTTCCTCAGGACTTGAAAGCAGTGTTGTGAGCCTGTTTTTGTGAGGTTGTTGGGGGTGAGAATGGATGTTACTCTCTAAGGAACTCCCAGAGATCTGAAGACAGAGGGGCATATTTGGGTACTGAGTGGATTTTGAAAGTCTTCTACCATATGTACGTAACTGTAGGACAGCTACAGTGTGCCGCCCCTCACTAATCCTATTCCTCTCTTAGCTCAGAAGCCTCACCCACTTACCTCCCTAGCAAAACTGTGTGTGTGTGTGTGTGTGTGTGTGTGGTGTGTGTGTGTGTGTGTGTTTGTGTGTGTGTGGTGTGTGTGTGTGTGTGTGTGTGTGCATGCGCGTACTTGTTCTCAGACCCAGAGCGGTGAATCTACAGGGAATAGAAATAGGTACAAGTGCCTTCATTCTGGAAGCTTTAGGAGATTTTGATAAAAACCTTCTCTCTCTTTCCATTTACACCAAAGAGTCAGGTCGAGACACACAAACTGATGATTCACACAGAGTTTGTGCAACAGCAGAACTTCCTGGCTGAAGAGGAACAGAGACAGCTACAGAAGCTAGAGATGGAGGAGAGGGAACACCTGAGAATCCTGGGCGAGAGGGAGGCAATGCTGGCCCAGAAGAGCCAGGCCCTGCAGGAGCTGGTCTTGGAGCTGGAGAAGAGGAGCAGGGGCTCAGCCCTGGAGCTACTGCAGGTGAGCCTCCCCTCTCCCTGAGGTTCAAGGAATAATTGAAACAAAGCTAAACCCAGACCCTGGAATATTCCTAAACCAAACTGGAATTCAGACCCATGAGTGGTTTGCATTCAAGGCATGGAAAGGTGCAGAGTTAGGAGGAAATATTCCATGCAGCAATTCAAAGAACCAGCCACCTGCTCTGACACCTTCCAGGTTCATGACCTTGAGAAAGTTCCTTAACTTTTCTGAGTATTTGGTTTCTCCTATGTTAAATGGATATTACAGTGTTACATATCTCAAAGGATTTTTCTGAGGATTAAATGAGAGAAACCATGAAAGCTTTTACCTGAGCATTTGACCATGAGAAAGGTTTCATAATTGTAACTAAAAACAGTGCCCCAGAAATTAAGAGACAGTGGCCCTGCCACCAATTCGCTCCATAATTCTAGGTTAAGTCCCTTCCTCTTCCTAGGCCTACTTTGTGGAGCAAGGGGAGGGAGTGGACTGAATAACAAGGATCCCCCAATGTTAGTCATAAATGTACCCTCTTCCCACTTTTTGCTGCTTCTGTGAACTACCCAAACCTTGTTAGCATATGTTTGTTGTTTACATCTCACTCTTTCATCTGAAGAAATTTAGCTTAACAAGAAATTTGTCCTAAGCGATAGGAGCCAAGAAATCCTGTGTTGATGGTTTACTAATTTTTTCTAATTTTGTAACCACTGCCAATTCTTAAATGGCACATAAGACCTGCCTCAGTGTATTCAGGCTGTCACAGCAATACAGTGAGTTGTATGCTATTATCCCCATTTTGTAGATGAGAAAACGGGGGCAGAGATGTTGAGAAATTTAGAGACTACTGCTAAATAATTTGACCAAGTTCACTCAAATGATAAGTGGCAGAGTGGAAATTAAAATAAGCATGTATTTTTTTTAAAAAACTCATCAATGTGTGTTCTACTTAAAATCCTCTCCCATCCCCTAATGTGTTTGCCTCTTTTGGGAACCTATTGATTAGATGGTCTCAAAAGTCCCCTCTCCTCTAATCTTCTACAGTTTTTCCCTTCCCAAACTTGTCAGTGTCTCTGTCAGATGTGGTCATGAAGTCATTTATTTGTTGGTTTGGTTTGTGCAAAAAGACTTCCTGGAGTGGCTTTACTTGGCAGGCCCTCTTCTCACTGTCTAAATCTTGCTTCTACCAACACTGAGCCATGCCTTCTAAGGCACTTTTGACTGGACCTAGGAGTGGGCCAATTCCCAAGCCCGGCAACAGCATATTTCCAAGTGATTCAATTTCACATGCATATGAGAAGGCAGCATTAACTCCAAAGAGGACAGAGCCCTTTCTTCCCCAAAACACAAGCCCACAACTGAGACAGAGCAGGTCCTGTGCATCCTGACTGGGCCATTCTTGCCCTGTGACTGTCTCAGGGACTCAGCCAGCCTGGGCTACTTGTTCCTTTCCACTCTCCTTCCAAGAACTGGGGCTTTTCTAACGTGTCCTCTGAATCAGAGTCCTTAAACTGATCATCCTTCTCATAGCTGTAGGTCACACCCATGGTGGTTACCCCACAAGCATCCACACCCCTTCTGCTTCAAGCTGGTCAGAAATGTCTTTCAGGCAGTGGCCTCAGAGGAATGGAGTAAAGCAGTGTCCTGTGGGCCTCTGGGGGAGGGGCATCTCCTAACCCACAGAACTGAGGTCTCAGTGGTAAACCAGTGATTCCAGAATTTACACACTGTCTTTTCTCCTCAGGAGGTGAAAAGTGTCCTGGGAAGGTAAGGAGAGGTTTTCTTTGTAAGAGGAGGAGGGGGCATGGGGCACCTGGGTGGCTCAGTCGGTTAAGTGACTTTAGCTCAGGTCATGGTCTCATGGTTTGTGGGTTCGAGCCCCACATCGGGTTTTGTGCTGACAGCTTAGAGCCTGGAGCCTGCTTTGAATTCAGTGTCTCCCTCTCTGTCTGCCCCTCCCCCACTCACACTGTCTCTCTCTCTTTCAAAAAATAAATATTAAAAAAAAAGGAGGGGTGACAAGAAGTATATATACCTGTGGAAAAGGTTTTTGAGTTAGAAAAACATGCACTGATGTTTTTTCCATTCTCCTCCCTATTCTCAAAGACCCAAACCTCCGTAAAATATTTTCTGTTGTGAAGCTAATGAATAGACATCTCATTTGGTGAGTTGCCCAAAGTAATTAGACTATAAAATTGTTACAAAGTGAAGCCCCAACTCACAGGGAAATTCTGTGAAGTTCTTAGTCTACAGCCAGTTACAAATCTTCCAGAAAGAGCCATAGAGTAAGACCGGTGGCCTGGGGAGACACCTTGAGTTTCCTTACGGAAGTGATTCCATCTGTATCAGATGCCTTGTGGTAAAATGAACCAGTGAGTGCCTGCTGACCTTAGGCTTGGAAAGAAGATACAGACTATCCACAGCTGCAGGGCCTGATGTAAGCAGTAAGGCCTAGAAAGGAACTAAATCCCTACCTCCTCTTGCCTCCCACCCCCATCTCCAGGGACCCCAATACAGAAGGTATCTGTAAATTTGCACTGATTTAAATTGTCATCCACAAGGGAGGTTATGGTCAGGGTTCAGGAGGGTGAGATGGGAGCTGGAAACAGGGTCTGTAACTGTTTGCCCCAGGAGTGAATGTTGGAACCTGAAGCAGCTGGACATCACCCCTCCAGACCTGAGGAGTGTGTGCCTCGTGCCAGGGCTGAAGAGGATGCTGAGGACGTGTGGAGGTGAGGAGACCACCAGGAGAGTGGGACGGGGGAACAGAAGGGGGTGACGAGGGTGCAGAGTCCCAGGGTCAGGGAGAGCTAGCAGGTCAGAGTAGGTGAGGCAGGAACACGTAGGGAAGGTGATTCCCTCAAAGGTTAGGCCTGGCTGGGGGTCATTTCCTCCCACAGTGAGGCTCACAGATACCTGCTCATCCCCCCCACCCCCACCCTCATCCCCACCACAGACACCAGGTTCCTGATTCCCCATACTCTCCCAGCCTAACTATGGTCCCTTCTCTGCAGTAAACATCACTCTGGATCCGTACACAGCCAATCCATGGCTCATCCTGTCAGAGGATCGGAGACAAGTGAGACTTGGAGACAGCCGGCAGGAAGTACCTGAAAATGAAGGCAGATTTGACACTTATCCCATGGTCCTGGGTGCCCAGTTCTTTGACTCTGGAAAGGTTTACTGGGAGGTAGATGTGACAGGAAAGGAGGCCTGGGACCTGGGTGTTTGTAGAGACTCTGTGCGGAGGAAAGGGCATTTTTTGCTCAGTCCCAAGAATGGCTTCTGGACAATTTGGCTGTGGAACAAACAAAAATATGAGGCTGGCACCAGTCCCCAGACTCCCCTCCACCTTCAGGTGCCTCCACGCCAAGTTGGGATCTTTCTTGACTATGAGGCCAGCACTGTCTCTTTCTACAACATCACTGACCACGGCTCCCTCATCTACACCTTCTCTGAATGTGCCTTCTCTGGACCTCTGCGACCCTTCTTCAGTACTGGTTTTAATGATGAAGGAAGAAATTCAGCCCCTCTTGTCCTCCGTCCATTGGAGATGGTTTGGTAGGGATCTACTGACCACTGGTGGCACTCTCTGGACACTGACAACCCCCTCTGTCAGTGCCCTTCTCAGCCACTGACCGTGCCTCATCTCCCCATGAACTCTGACCCACTTTGTCTCTGCAGAGCTGTCAGGACAGTAGCAAGCAGACTTTGGCAGTGAGTTCACGGAAAATTTGTCAAATGACTTTCACCATCAGCATTCCTACCTAGATTGCTTTATGATTCCCTCTATGAAACAAACTACTTGGCCCAAATCACCTGGGTCAACCAAAACACATTTCTGCCTTTATGTGACTCATTTTCTCCTCTCCATCACTAAGCCTCTGGTCAGATCTCTATTATTTACCTTGCAGAGTTTGCAAAGGGGCTTCCTATATACATGGGGCCTCAATCTAACCCATTTGATCCTTGTTCTCATATACATCTAGGATTACTGTTCTGATGTACACACACCTGTTAAGTGGCTCCACACCACCTATAGAAAAACAGCCATACTTTGAAAATAAAGGGTGACTGATGCAGGCCTTAGACTTCCATGTTACATATCCAGCAGCCTATTGTGTCCCATCCCCCATCCCTGCCATGCTCTCCCGACCACATCTTGTTGATAATGGAATTGGTTAAAGGGCACATCAATCTAAATGGAAGGGGTAATGGTTTTTTGATATGTCAACTTGGCTAGGCTCTAGGCTGTCAATCACAAATCTAGATGTTGCCATGAAGGTATTTTGTAGATATTATTAAAGTCTGTAAAACTTGACCTTAAGGGGGATTGTCCTGGATAAGTGGGGTGGCCCTAATCCAATCAAGTGAAAGACCTTAAAAGCAGAACTGAAGCTTCACCGAAGATAATCCATCTATAAATAACAGCTTGAGCTCATGCCAGAGTTCTAGCCTGCCCTGAAGAATTTAGGTCCTACCTTGCCAACTCCCACAATTATATAAGTGAATTCCTTGCGATAAGTCTATGCATGGTCCCTACTAGTTCTTCACACCTGATTGATGTGAAGGCCAGGACTGAAGTAATGGCATCACCTGGTGACAGCTAACATTTTCTTGAATTTAAGTTCTTAAGGCTAGAATGATGAAGCTCTACACCCAAGCAGTAGGAGGCTGTGAGAGACCCACTATTCTGCCAGCAACCTGATTCTTTGCCTAACATACAATCTCTGGGAGAAGGTGGGAAGATGATGGAGTAGGAAGAACCTAAGCTCACTTTGTCCCATGGGACAACTAGATAACCCCAACATCAGCATAAATAATCCAGAAAATGACCCAAAGCCTGGCAGAACAAACTCCACAACTAAAGGCAGAAAAGAGGCCACACTGAAGAGGGTAGGAAGAATGGAGATGCAGTCATGAGCTAAACAGATCAAAAGCTGAGCCTTCTACAGGAGGGAGGGAGCCAGTGGCACAGAGAAGGGCAAGAAGCAGCCTACCACACTAGGGAGCCTGAACAGGGAAAACAAATCCCCATAACCTTTGGCTTTGAAAACTAGAGGAGTTGAATTTCAGAAGTTCTTACAACCAGTGGGCCTTAAAGCCTGGAATTTAAAAAATCAGCTAGCTTAGCTTTGGGAGAATGGACAATAGGAAATTGAGTGTCCACCTTAAAGAGACAGCAGGACAAACAGCCCTCAAAAATACAGCAAAGAAGCAGCACTTTGAAAAACACCTGGGGCATATGGAAGGAGAGTTACTCACCTCAGAACCTGTACCAGAGGGGCAGGACTTGCTGAGGGACTCCTCTGGGAGGCACCACCTCCCTCCCACAATGCCCAGCATAAACATGGCGATCTACAAGAAACAACATGATGCCAACCCTCACTATGTAAGTTGCTTGTAACAGGCACCACCCACACACATATCAGCGGGTCTGCCCTTTCCAGTGATGTTTGCCTCAGCCCCAGCACCGCTGTCTCCTCCCCCAGAAGACCATCACAAACCTTGCCAACACTACATCCACCAGCCATGCACTTTGTGGAGCCTTGGTTTTGGAAGCAGCTGCAGCAGGCTCCCTCCTGAGAAAAACATGCACACACCTTGTTAAAATTGATTGGTCCAGCCACCTGCTTTGCTGATGAGCTCCTACTAACCTGGTACCAGTAGCTGCAGTGGTAGCATGTCTCATTTCACTAGCAGACCATGGTGCATCTTGTCAAACCATGTGCCCCAGCATGGTCTCAGAGGTGGCAGCAGGCCCCTTGCAGGCACATCACACTCCACCTCCTCCGATATGCTCCTTGCCAGAGCCCATTTAAATAGGGGCCACAAGCCTGGCAGTGTGACTCCAAGGTAACTCCTTCCCTGGGTTGAGGAGAAGACAAGCACATACTTCGGTCAGAAGGGTGCCCCAGCAGTGGACTGGGGGAAGACATCTGGTCTGACTATAGACTGTGCCCACCAACAAAAATTTCTCAGGGACAACACAAGAAAAGCGCCCTGCACTTTGGTGTTACTGCATCTCTGGCAAATGTATGGTGTGACTAAACTCAAGACCAAGCAGGCTCCAAGCTGGTCTAGTAACACCACAGAGACCAAACACTGCACACAATAGACAAACACACTGTAGACAACTGGACTAAAGGAAAAAGCAGCTAAGACACAACAGCAGGGCATATGCACACACATAGGTGATACTTCTGAAGTGTCAGATTCTGGTGAACAGGAGACACTGCACCACAGGGTACTACAGGACGTCTCCTTCATATGGCCATTATTTTCAAGAGCAGGAGACAGAGCTGGCTGTCTTAACACAGAGAAATACAGTAACACAAAATGAAGAGAAGAATATGTCCCAGGTGGAAGAATAAGACAAAACCACAGCAAGAGACCTAAACAAAACAGATATAATATACCTGATAGAGAATTTAAAGATACTGGACTTGAGGAAAGAGTGGAGGACATCAAGGATACCCTTAATAGTGAAATAAAGAACCGATCAGAAAAGAACACAATAAAAATTAAAAATACACTATGAAATAAATAAACAGATGAAATAAATAGCAGGCTAGAGAAAGCAGAAGAAGTCATTAGCAACCTGGAGGACAGAGTAATGAAAAGTAATCAAGCTGTGGGGCGCCTGGGTGGCTTAGTCGGTTAAGCGTCCGACTTTCACTTAGGTCATGATCTCACGGTTCGTGGGTTCGAGCCCCGCGTCGGGCTCTGTGCTGACTGCCAGCCCAGAGCCTGGAGCCTGTTTCAAAGTCTGTGACTCCCTCTCTCTCTGACCCTCCCCTGCTCATGCTGTCTCTCTCTCTCTCTCTCTCCTAGAAATAAATAATTAAAAAATATATATATATATATAAAAGAAAAGTAATCAAGCTGAGCAGATGAGAGGGAAACAATTAAAATGCAAAATGAGAATAGGCTTAGGGAACTCAGTGACCCCATCAAGTGTAATGACATTTGCACTATAGGGATCCTAGAAGAAGAAGAGAGAGAAGAGGGCAGAAAATTTAATTGAGGAAATAATAACTGAAAATGTCCCTAATCTGGAGAAGGAAACAAATTCAGAAGGAACAGAGATCTCCCAATAAAATCAACCCAAGGAGGCCCACATGACGATACATAGGAATTAAAATGGAAAAAGTAGTGATAAGGAGAGAATTTTGAAAGCAGCAAGATAAAAGAAGACTGTTACATACAAAGGAAAAACCCATAAGGCTATCTGTAGATTTTCAGCAGAAACTTTGTGGGCCAGAATGGAGTGGCATGATAAATTCAAAGTGCTGAAACAAAAAAATCTGCAGCCAAGATTATTCTACCCAGAAAGGCTATCATTCAGAATAGAAGGAGAAAGAGTTTCCCAGGCAAACAAACACTAAAGGTGTTCATGACCACAAAACTAGCCTTCCAAGAAGTTTAAAGGTGACTCTTTAAGTGGAAAGACCATAAGGTAAGAAAGTAGGAAACACAAAAGCAGTAAAAAATGAGTATATCTGTGTAAAAAAAAAAAAAGTCAAGAGATTCACAAAATAAAAAGACATATGACACTATATACCTAAAGCATGAGGGAGAGGAGTAAAGAATGAGTCTAATGTTAGGCAACCATCAACTTAATATAAGCTACTATATGCAGGTGTTATATACACAACTCAAAAACCAGTAATAAACATGCAAAACAAATAAATGAAGGAATCCAAGTATATCACTAAAGAAAGCCAGAAAACCATGAGAGAAGAGAGCGAGAGAAGAAAAGAGAAGAGAAGAGCTACAAAAGCAGCCACAAAACAAGTTTTTTAAAAATGGTAATGCATACTTATTAATAATTATTTTGAATGTAAATGAACTAGATGCTCCAACCAAAAGACATAGGGTGACAGACTGGATACAAAACAAGACCCACCCCATATATGCTACCTACAAGAGACTCATTTCAGACCTAAAGACACATGCAAATTAAAATTGAGGAGATGGAGAAACATTTATCAGGACAACAGATATAAAAAGAAAGCTAAGGTAGCAATATTTAGACAAAATAGACTTTAAAACAAATATTTTAAAATAGATTTGGACAAAATAGACTTTAAAACAAGAGACAAAGAAGATTATATAAAAATAAATGAGACAATCCAACAAGAACATATAACAATTGTAAATATTTATGCACCCAACATGAAAGCTCCTAAATACACAAAATGGTTATTAACAAAGGAACTAATCAATAATAATACAATAATAGTTGGGGACTTTAACATTCCATGTATATCAAGGGATAATCACCAAACAAAATCAACAAGAAACAATGGCTTTGAATGACACACTAAACCAGAGGGATTTAACAGATATATTTAGAACATTTCATCCTAGACAGCAGAATACACATTCTTTTCAAATGCATATGAAACATTCTCCAGAATAGATGACATATTAGGCCACAAAACAAGTCTCAACAAATTCAGAATATCAAAGTCCTACCATTTATTTTGACTACAACACTGTGAAACTAGAAATCAACCACAAGAAAAAAATATGGAAAGGGCACAAATACATGGAGGTTAAATAACATGCTACTAAACAATGAATGGGTCAACCAAGAAATCAAAGAAGAAATAAAAAACTATATAGAGAGAAATGAAAATAAAAACACAACAGTCCTAAACCTTTGAGATGCAGCAAAAGTGGTTCTAGAGGGAAGTTTATAGCAATAAAGACCTATCTCAAGAAGCAAGAAAAATCTCAAATAAGCAACCTAATCTTACACCTAAAGGAGCTAGAAAAACAACAACAACAACAACAACAACAACAAACCAGCAGAAGGAAGGAAATAATAAAGGATATGGAAACAAAATAAAACAAGACAAAAACAATAGAACAGATCAATGAAACCAAGAGCTTTGTTCTTTGAAAAGATCAACAAATAGGACAAACTGCTAGCCAGATTCATGAATAAAGCAAAGGACAGAGGACTCAAACAAAATCACAAGTAAAGAGAGAAATAATAACCAACATCACAGAAATACAGAGGATTATAAGAGAATATTATGAAAAATTACATACCAACAAGTAGGACAACCTAGAA